GGAATTGCAGTGCACTTTCTTACCTAGGCCACCAGAGCTCCACCCTCTAAATTCTAGGCTCTAACACACAACTCAATTCTGCCCTGACTCCAGGGACCCCCTCACCCCTTTTGGACTGAGCCTCAGCCTAGGGGACCCTCTCTGTTTGCAGATCACAGGTGTAAGTCAGCTGCTTCTTACTTTAAAAAGCCTCCAGTTCAACTGCTAGTTTTTGCCAACAGTAAATGGGACCCAAGTGGGTACTCGGGGAATAAGAGCCTCCTTGTTCTCCAGTCCAGCTAATGACAAGTGGAGAGCAGGTGAGTGAGGGAGGGAGGGTGCAGGGCTGCTGAAGAGCCCTCTCTCCCCAGGGAGTGCCTCCACCAGTGGACACTCCCACAGCATTGCTGAGAAGAACATCTAAGGTTTCCACAAGTGAAGGCCTAGAGACTTTGACTTGCTCAAGTCCACATGAAAAGTCAGCCTCAGGGATATGAGGAAAACTTAGCCCAGGTCGCTTCCTACTGGAAGGAGGACAGGACAGTGGGCAGACCTAGGATAGACTCTGAGAGAAGTCTCAAAACAGAAGAGTAATCTGAGGCCCAGAGAGGAGAAATAACTTCCCCAGTCATTTCATCGGATGGGACGGCGGTCAGAAGTGATGTTCATTGTTCATACAGTTCCTTCCTGGCCATCTTGCCAGGCTCCCTGCCCTGTGGACCTGGCATGCTCTGCCCAAAGACACCATGACATTCTCATATGCCATCTTCCCCCCACCCCCCGGTGACCCTGGCATGCATCTTGCTGAAGCGCAGATACCCTCAGAGTGCCCACATTCCCCTCATCTCCCAGTCTGTGGATGCGACCCCACCCCATGACAACTGCGCCTACAGCTTCCTCAAGCTCTTGTCCCAGCAACTGGGCCTGAAGCCCAAAAGCAGCAGCCGCCTTCCTTGGCGGGGACTCTGCCAAAGAAGCAAATGAGCCTTGTCGGGCATGACCAGCTCTGCCAGACCAACCTCATTTCCTTCCTGATGGGGTAAGACGTTCCAGTTCTATGAAGAGACTGATCTTAAGGAATGTCTGAACTCCTGTCACCTGGAAGAAGCAACTGGAGGGGTCTGAGTGTATGGGACAGACTGGAGTACCTGGTATGTGGTCATCTTCTCATTTCCCCCACCACCTCCCCCATCCAGCTTCCCTCTGTCACCAGCACTGTAAACATCCCTTGCCTGGGAGGCACCTTCAGACATGTATCAGCAATGTTTCTGAGCTCACCAATTTGAGGTGCTTTGGGTCAGTAATTCAGTCTACAGCCCACACTTTTCCTCAGCAGAGGTACTATATGGTGGACATGGTGCTCAGCAAACCCACACTCACGTTAGGAGATTGTGCTTGGCTCAGACTTGGTTCTGTCTGGGTACTGTGTGAAGCAGATCAAACTCTTGGGGAAATGGCCATTCCGGGGGACTTTATTTTGTTTCCTTTCTCACCTCCTTCCAGACCCCTCGAGTCCACCAAGCTCCCCCCCTTACAAAGTCTTCCATCAGGTGGGATGGTGGAACACCACTAGTGAGGCTCAGGTGTCTCTGCAACAGCAGGGAACTCGGGTGTGTGCCTATTGTACAGGGTGGCAGTCTGTATGTTGTCAGCACACATGTCCACAGGCATTGTAACACATACATGTTCCACCTACGATGTCTATCCTGAACCAGGCACTGTTCTGAAGGATTCATAAGCACTAACTCAATCTTCATCTCAACTATGAAATAAGATACCATCACCATCACGCAGGAGACGAGACCGAAGCAGAGAGAGGTTAGATCATTTGCCCAGTGCCACAGAATTACAGGGGCAGGGTCTGAGTCCAGCATTGTGACATCTCATGCAGGTGAATCAGGTGCATCACACTTTGTGAAAATTCAGAGAACCCTCTCTTGACTTCCTGACATTAGCAAAAAACAGCCAAATGTAGTTAGAAAAAAAATGTCTACTTTGCAGCAGCTTGAGCCACTCAATAGGGCACCAGTGAGCTGCCAATAGAGCACTGGTGGCACACTGGGCTAAGTGCTGGAGCACTAATTGAAAGGTCAACAGTTCGAACCCACTAGCCACTCTGCAGGGGAAGATGGAGGCCGTTTGCTTCTGAAAAAACTTGCAGCCTAAGACAGAAGCAGTACTCCTCAGGTGAGGAGCTGGAGCTGAGCTGAGGGATGACATCAAAATGACAGGACATGCTAAATGGCCAGCCCGATTCTTTATTAGAAGATGAAAAATTCTGAAGATCAGCAGTTATGGAAGTTATAGGAAGGGGAAACTGTCTCAGAAAAGAGAGCCAGACCTTAAACATATGTGGATCACGTTATCTGGCACAAGGGCTGGCTTCTCTGGAATACTTGTTGACTGCCATCAAGTCGAGGTCAACTCATAGCGACTCTATGAACAAAAGACCTAATGCCTTTCTGTAACTATTGTCTTTTCTCCAAGTTCATAGACCTTCCAGAGGCATGTGCTTTAGGAAATGGATGCCACACCTGCTTCCCAACTTATTTTACAACTGAGAGCTCCACCAAACACTGTCTGTGATGAGAATACTGGCAAACTTTATTTTTAGACATTGCTTCAAAGTTAACCATAATGCTTTGAAAATATGCCACATTAACCATACTTGGTTTCCATCCACTACAGTTACTTACAACTTATGCGTTGTATTCAGGTAATATAAGCAAGGAGACCTGTTTTGTGGGAAGTTCACACTAGTTGGCATATTACATGGTGCCTCATACCCCACTGCTTTGGTTTTTTTCTAAAAATGGGTGTCTGTCAGTCAAGTACCCTGTTCCACTGCTTTCAAAAGGAAGGCTTATAGCGTTGGATGCTTCTTTGTCTTGTCGTTGTTGTTGTTGATGATTACCATCGAGTCAAACATGACTCATAACAAGCAACCCTATGAACAAAAGACCTGAAGCCTTTCTATAACTATGGTTGTTTTTCAAACATAGAGTTTCCAGAGGCATGTTGTTTAGGAAGTGGCTGCCATACCTGCTTTCAAACCTGTCTTAAACTGGGAACTCCAATAAACACTGTCCACCATGGGTAACTGTTATGGCACTTGACACCCCAAAGGCACAAGGTTCATCATCACAGCAACCCCAGGTTATCTCAGTACAGCAAATTGACAGAAGAGTGCCATATGTACCACTTAGAAGAATGTTCCTCAAAAAATATAACTGACTTACAAACACAAAAGCCCTCCACACGGCCTTGTTGACTCTAAAGAAGAGGCTTAAAGAAAATACAACCAGTATAATATGTTATGTGCTGTTGAACCCATGTATAGCTGCTCTGGACCCTTCCCTGTCCTGAGCCCATTTCACTAATTCTGACACACCAATCCCAGTTGCCCCAGTTACTGTATCAATCCATCTCATTAGGGGTCTTCCTTTTTTGTGCTGTTCCTCCACCATTCCGAGCACGATGTCCTCCAAGGACTGGTCTCTCCTGACCACGTGCCCAAAGTATGTGAGATGGAGCTTCAAAATCCTAGCCTCCAAGGAGAGACTTGGTTTCACCCTCTCCAAGAGAAATCTATTTGTTTTCTTGGTGGACCACAACTTCCAGGACCACAACTCAAAGGCATCAATTCTTCTGTCATCCTTAGTCATTGTCCAGCTCTCTGAAACATAACAAATATTGTGAAGACCATGGCCTGATTAAGCACACCTTGTCTTTAGACTGACATAGTTGCTTTTCAGCACTCTGGAGAGGTCCCTGACAGCAGATTTTGCCAGTGCAATTTGTCTTTTGATTTTCTGATTGCTGGTGATAAGAGTGTTGATTGTGGAGCCAAGCAAGCTGTAATTGTTCACAACCTCAGTCTCTTCTCCATCTATCATGATGCTGCCAATTGGCCCAGTGGTGAGAGAATCTTTGTCTTCTTGATGTTGAACTTCACTCCATATTGAAGACTACAGTCCTTGAGCTTCTGCAGCAAGTGCTTCCGGTCTTTTCAGTTTCAGCAAGCAGGGTTGTGTAATTTGCATATAGTAGAGTTGAAAACACTACTTCCTCTAGTCTTTCAGTCATCGGAATAATGAACGGTCTGCCTCACTATGAAGTTTGGGTTTTTTTTAAATTTTTTTTTTTACTATGAAGTATTTCAAAGTTCTCTGGAGAAGACTGTACGTGTAGATTAACCAATTAATGGATGGATGCTAAAATCAGCAGAATGGATTTTTTATTGATTTTTTTTAAATGTCTTTTTTTAATGTGAGGCATTGCTGGCAAAATGAAACTCTGGACTGGCTACCTGCTTCTGACTCTTCTTCCTTGTATATACCAGTATTTGATAAGTAGTTAATCATTCAATAAACCTTAACTATAAAAGACAAACAAACAAACAAACAAAAACCCTGTGTGGCCTCAGAAATCCTGCAGGGCAGCTCTGTCTGCCCTATTGGTCACTGGGAGTCGGAATCAGCGGGAGTGAGTCAGGTTTCTGTTGAGCTGTCAGGGGAGTCAGGAGAGACATGACCTCATCTCCTCAGCCTCCAGTCTGGACGCCCCTTGATGGAGGCGAGAGGGGCAGGCCTGGGCAGAACTCTGCTTCCCTCCCAGCAGCCCAGCAGGCTTGGGAATACCTACACTGTGGTCATCTTTCAAATATGAAAGATCTCTCCTCTGCCTCTTCCCCATCCGCTCCGCTCCAGGGGGAACCCAAACCCCTGAAGTCAAAGAGAAACCACCTGTAGTTACAAAGATAGGGTCATTTATTCATGTTACATTACTGGATTTTAAAGGCAAAAAATACAGTTTTCGTCTGTTTTTAACACCAAGGTCAGACACTCCCCCCCATCACAATGGTATACACACGTTTGTTGCATACATGGAAAATAAGCACAGCAAAACAGGTCTCGAGGGCAGGAATGCTGCTGTCTGGCTGTACAGGGCACCGCACACCCCACAGGGATGCCAGCATAGCCCCTGGCCTTGCTGAGACCCAGCACCAGCTTTTCCATTACCCTCTGCTGCCATGCCTGCCCTCTGATCTTTCCAAAGGCCACTTTAAAAAAGGTGATGGACAGGAGCAGAGGAAGGCACAGCACAGCTTTATGGTCCAACTCTCCGGTGAAGGCAATGTCTCCTGTATCCACAGTCCTGAAACTTCCCGATGGAAAGAGGATGTGAGCTGTGGGTTCAGGGGCCCCAGGAGAGTACCGGAAGGTCAGCAGAGGGGAAGGGGCAGGGAAGCTGTATTTCCTCTGGTTCGGAAAATGAACCACACACTTGACCATTGAATAGGAAGGAAAATGTAACAGAAAAAAAACCAACCCCCCCCAAAACAGAAGGTCAATTTTAAGAGTAAAGTCACAAAGACATTACCACCTAGGACATGTGTCTCTTTTCTTTTAAGGCACTTTGGAAAAGTCAGGGCCTAGGCATAGAAAGGAGCACAGAAAGGAGGAGTCTTTGTTCTTTATGTATCTCCAGACTCCCTCTCAATGTACTCACTCCTAGTTTAATAACATTATGAAGGAGCAAGTAGAGCTGACAGAAATACTCTTTGCATAGCCCAGCTGCTTCTGCATTGGGAGATGATTTGTAATCAATACAAAGCCTGCTGGGAGAAGAACCAAGTTAGCATCTGAGATGCCCAAAGTGATAAAGGCACAGGTAAGATTGGGACCAGGCACCAGCCCAAACTCCACACTGAGGGCTGGTGCCCAAGGGCCAGCGGTGGGTGAGCCAGCAGGGTCTGATGAGCCAAGGCAAGCCTGGACTTGGGGAGGGCACCCAGTGGTAGACACGACCTGCTGCCATCTCGTCCCAGGTGGAGATTTCACCTTTGGAGAGGTGGTTTGGGGAAGGCATCCTAAGGGATTGGCCTCCCTAGAGTGAGGTTGCTCACTAGAGCACCCGCTGAAAAGTGGAGGGGAAGGCAGAGGCATCAGGCATGAATTCTCGAGAGCAATCGATGAGGGTTCAGCTCAATGTCTTTCCAGGTCTAGTTAAAAGGCACATTCACACTGGAAAGTCAATAGTCTGTTTGACCCTGAGTGCCACAGGCAAGAGGCAGAGGAACAAGAAGGGAAAGGCAAGGAGGGGAAAAAGGAAGAACACACAATACAGGGTGGGCCGGGGAGGCGGCCCCAGCCAGCCTCCCCATGCACCACAGTAGGAAGGCCCCCTCCACTTGCCTGCCAGGGAGGCACTAAGGGCTGGTAAACTTGATGCTTGCTATTTACAATTCCACAGCCATGAACCCTGAGAGGTGGCCCAGGTGTCAGTCCAAGGAGGGTGAGGTGCCCTCTGCCCTGCCGGCGGGGGGAGGGTTAAGGGAGAAGCAGGAAGCTCTGCCCAGCAGGTGAAGCCTCTCGGCTCTTAAAGAGTCCCTGCCCAGGTGCTGGCAGGGCAGTGCTGACAAGGAGACCTTGCCTCTCACCAGGGGATCAAAGGTGGATCTTCATGTAACCTGGCCTGCCAGCTAAACTGAAGGCCTAGTCATGGTCATTACAGCGTACATTATTTTTCCCCCTAAAAAAATTGCTCAGTTCCCTCCCCACACTTAAAACACCACAATTAAAAATACATAGTAAATTCAAGTTTACATAGCATGCCCAGAAAAAGAAATTGCCATGACTTAACATTAAACAGTTATGGAAAATTGGATCAACACAATTATCAAGCTGAGATCACAATTTGAACAAACCTGATTTGTTCTTTCTTTGAAGTCCTACACAGAACTGATTAAAAAGGGGAGAAGGGGACTCTTTACATTCGGTAATCAGAAAACCTGGAACCAGGCCACCGAATATGAGAACATCCAGGCCTTTTGCTCCAATGGCTAAAGTTGCCTTGGAATTCACACTTTATTTTTTTTTTCCTATAATTCACACTTTAGTAGGACAGAAGGTCCCAGGCATAAGATTTAAAAATTCTTTTGCTAAGAAAACACACACACACACACACACACACTGATTGTAATAGTTGCATACCAATGAAAAGAGGTGGAGGAGGGAGAAATGTTGAGACATCTGTGTTTTTGTTCTTGTTGTTGCTAAAATGTGACAACCAGTAAGTCCACCTGTTCAATTTCAGCAGCATGTTCCAATCTTTTGTGAAGTAATCAGAATGACGACGATCCACAATTTAAAGCAAAAGTCTTACCTGTTTCACAATAATTTAGCAGTTTTATCGCTGGGAGTGGGTCCCAGGCACCAGATTTTTGGCTGTGTACAGTTCTGACTCTTTGGGGTGAACACTGTGAGGACGATGAGCACCCCCCAACGCTGATAGTTTCTACAAACACCATAGAGAGCTAAGAAGTCATGTGCCGAGCCAAGCTGGGGGCAAAATATCCCAGTCGTCCTGGTCATCTGGAAAGGCATCTGAATGGTGAGTGAGGGGGGCCTGTCACTCTGATTGGTAAAAACGAGAGGGACCAGCCCAGCAGATTGGCTGGGGCCCAAGCAGAGACCCCTGGCCATTTTCAAGTCTCTGAGTAGTGTATCAAAATGCTAGCTTGGCTTCCCAACGTCCACTGTGATTTTGGTATACAACGGTTGTCTCTCTACAGCCAACACCTTGTAGCTGAGTGTGTTCAAGCCATCCAAGCGCATTGTCTCCTTTGTGTGTGCAATTCGGTCAAACCTAAGGAGGAGGAGAAAAAGGAGGAAGGGATGGGGGTCAAAACAAAGCCATTGACACTTGTATTTCATCACCTCTCCCTCCTTCTCTCTCTCTCCCCAGCCCAGGACTTCTTTCCGCTTCTCCCTAGCCTCTTTCCGTCTTTCCCACAGACTGCCCCATCCTCTAGGGGCAGGAAGGATTATGAACAGACCCCCAACAAACCTCTGAGGATTGGGTTCATTTTTTTTGTCTCTTGAGTGGCGGATCATCCGACATTTCCCGATTACAGCATTTGGGCGAGATATAGACATGCCTTTAAAAACTAATCTGCAAAGAGTAAAGGAAGAAGTCACAATGACAGAGCGGCCACAAGGTCTGTGTCTATTAGTCCAGGTGTTACTCCTGGGCCCAGACCCAAGCCCAATGTAGCACTGGTTAGAACTCACATTCCTTTCCATATCCTTCCTCCACTGAACCTACATTGTTGTCACTGTGTGTTGTTGAGTCGGAACCGACTCACAGGCGATCCTCTGGTGGGTTTTCAGGGGGAGCAAATAGCATGGGAAGAGACTGCTCATCGTTCTTCCACAGAGCAGCTGGTGGATTAGAACCATGCACCTTTGGGATGGCAGCTCAGCTTCTTACCACTCAGCCACTGGAGCTCCCTGATTCTACAATGAGCGGGGTTTTCTTTCAAATTAAGTTATGTAATTGTAAAAATAACAAATTACAGTTGACTTGATAATTATCTTCATTTTAAAGCTGAGGAAACGAAAATGTGGAAAAGGTAAGCAGTTAAAATCATCTATTTAGTTATGGTGCTCCAATGTCCTGGTCTGTGGAGTGTTGTATGTTTGGGCCAGTGTTGCCACCAGAGTTCCCCTTGATCTTGTTCGCTTTCATCAAATGAATTCGAACATACAGTGACCTTAACTACTAAAGAGAACGACCCACGGCCTCTTGAGCCATCCTCTCAACTGCTGCTGTCTGCACTGTCTCAGCCCCGTGCCAATCCACCTTGTTAACAGTCTTCCTCTTTTTCATGGATTCTTTACTTTACCAGCATAATGTCATTCCCCAGGGACTGGCCACTCCTGAGATTATGTCCAAAGGACATGAGACAAAGTCTCACTATCCTTGCTTCTAAGGAACACTCTGGTCACACTTCTTCCAGGACAAATCTGTTCTTCAAGCAGTCCATGTTGTTGTTGTTGTTATGTGCCATCGAGTCGCCTGCGACTCATAGCGACCCTGTGAACAACAGCCCTATACCCTGCTCTATCCTGTGCCAATCTTATTGTCTCAGACACACTTATCCCCATTACCCCATGATATATTCAAAATTTTTTGCCCACACCACAATTCTTCCCCAGGCTTCTTTATTCATTGTCTAACTTTAGTATGAAGAGATTGAAAATACCATCCCTTGGGTAGCCCAGCAAATATCAAAAAAGACAAAACAAAAACCACTGTCACCAAATAGATTCCAACTCACTGCATCCAGTTAGGACAAAAGAGAACTGCTCTAGAAGTTTCCAAGGCTGCAATCTTCACAGAAGGAGGCTATCATGTCTTCCTCCCGCAGAGTGGCAGGTGGGTTCCAATTATCAACCTTTCAGTGAGCCACCAAGTGCTTAACTGTTCAGAGTAAGAGTCAAGCCCTTTATCTTGGAAGAGAGTTGCTCCATGCACCACTACCTCTCCTCCTATTTCCACCACTGCAGGGGACCAGTCCCTGGAGCACATCCTCCCTGTCCAACCTGCAGGTGCCTCAGGAAAATGAAAGACCTGACCCTTCCTGATTGGGCTGTCAAAATAGCCTTGAATATTCCAGCCACATGGAATTTCCTAGGTGGCATAAATGGTTAGGTATCTAACCACTAGCTGTAAGGCTGACAGCTCAAACTCAGAAAGTCCTCAGAAGAAAGGTTTGGTGAGCTGCTTCTGAAAAGTCATAACTTGGAAAACCTTACTGCACGCTTCTACCCTGTACACATGGGGTTGTTCTGAGTCAGAGCTGGCTTTCTAGCAACCGAGTAGAACAAGCCCACTATCACCATCTGAGACCAAGGTATTTGCCCAAGTGTGTTTATCTATAGAAGTTCTCCTCACGGACTCTACCCAGCATGCATGCAGCACAGGCTCTGTTTAATTAGTTCACACTTGATAATGGAATCACTTAAATCCAAGTTTTTCCTTTATGACATTCTCAGGTAATGATTAGGTTGAATGGCCTGGGATATTGCCAAGAAAGCTTTTGTTGATTGATCAAATAAATGTAATGCAATTCCAAAAGGTTGCACAAATGTGTACTATGATATCAAACTCACTGACAGTTTCAGATTGACTTCCAAGGAGAGGAGGTGCTCCTTACTGGCAGCGGGTGGAGCTGAAGCCTCACTGGA